CCATGGAGACCTCCTTGTTGTAAAGGAGATTGCTAAACTCCTCTGTCACTGCCTTAACAGCGCTTGCCCTCCAATATTTAAATAAGCATATGTAAATTCAGGCAAAATAACATTTCCAACACATAAAGAAGGTAAACAATGGAGAAAGCTCTAGGAATGTACACCATAATTTCTTATTCAGAATCATACATGTACTTACTTCAAATGTTGGATTTAAGTTCCTGAATGACTTCTTTCTACTGGGAAACAGATCCTCGCATTTCACAGGGTTATCATTAAGAGGCGGGATTTCCCCCGGCTACTGAGAACGTGGCCCCAGGCTACTTTCGTAGGAAAACAGAAGAAAAATAGAATCAAAAGAAATCCCTAGCTGTTTGATTCCCCGCCTACTTTTTGTATTTACGCGGCAACTTGAAATCTTAGTGACAGCCCTGATTTCACATAAGAATTACTGGGTTCAAACTAAATGCGGCTCCTTAAAGTTAAGTGTGAATAAGTGAAATACAATGTACAACAGTAAAGTACATTATGGAAACAAATAAACCACAAAACTATCTAGCCACGAACAACATCACCACCGAGGAATATATATACTGCTATCTTGATACTTATTAAAAGGACAAGTCTTTAAAACAAAATTTCTTCACTATAATTTTACAATTTCGTTTAGGGAGGTAAGGGCCAAGTGACAAGATTAACCTTCCTTCATAAGAAAGGCTGTTTGATTTTAACAACTCGCACCTCTCGAGCGATGCAGATAAGCAGTATTAAACAGTCGCAAGTATGCAGAACAAATAAAACTAAACCATTACTTAATCATATTTCAAACTACCAAAAATTCACGTTAGTGATTGTAGGGAAGGTAAGGATGAGAACAACCACATCCCAATCTTTGGCCATACACGAGTCTTGTTCGATTGGTTAATGGCAAATAAACTAACCTTGAATATTAAGAAAACAAATTTTGTCATTTTAGACCGGCTCAGAGAAAACTAACCTATCACCCTAAAATAATGATATTCGACAATGATCAAAATAAAAATGTCGCTCTAGAATGTAAAGAATTTGTGAGATATCTAGGTATAATAATTGACAATAATCTTTCTTGGAAACTTCATATTGACCAAGTAGCTATTAAAATGAGCCGAACTGTGGGATTGATCTGTAAACCGGGGCATTTTCTGCCACAACATACTCTTTTAACTATTTATCGATCCCTTGTTGCTCCTTATTTAACTTATGGTTTGACGGCCTGGGGCCAAGCATATAAATCGCACCTTGAAAAGCTTCTCAAGCTTCAAAAGCGAGCTCTTTGCTTTATCTACTTTTCTGAGCAAAAGCAGCATGCAATTCCTTTATTTATTGACGCCGGTGTTTTACCGTTAAAATTTTTGCATTATGAGCTTTTAGCTAACCTTATGTTTGAAATAAGACACAGTAATGCTCCTGGAAACATTCAAGATCTCTTTCAAGATATTTCTGATATTCATTCTTATAATACTCGTTTCCTCAGCCTTAAATAACTTTTACACACAAAGTTCCAGACTCTCAATTCAAGTGAATTCATTTTCTAGAATCGGAACAAAAATATGGAATGAAATGCCTTTCAAAAAACGCCTTTAAGAGGAAAATAAAGCAAACATTTTTTGAGATCCTAGCTTCAGAAGACTGTTATATTGATCTCCCAGAAATCATTCAAAAAGTTAAGCTGAATTTGTTTTCCTTTTAGTTAGTATGTAATCATTATTGGTAAAATCACACTCAAGAACACGTTTTTTTCGCAAAGCCATTTACCCACAAACGGCTTTTGATCAAAACACAGAGGCTGACTCAAACCTGAACACCAAATTTATTTTTTCAATTGATTGCTTGGTAACAGTTTTTCCTTATCAAGAAGCGTGGTTTATCCTTTAGAGACCCTCATGGCTACCGGGCTGATAAGTGAGCTTCATGCGCTAGATGTTTTCCTACAAGGCATATCTGGTTTTGCTGCGCGCGCACGACTTTCGTTGTCACTTAACTATACGTCACCAATCGCTGAGAACGTAAACAGAAACTAACATTGTACGTTTAGCATTAGGATACCATGGAAGAACCAGCACAAGGAAGACAAATGAGAGGACGGTTTATGTCAAACTATGGTCTTAAAACCTACACGCCAGAACAAATTAAGGAACAATGGAGAGAGAGTATGAAGGTACTGGTGAATTTCTCTTTGAACTAAATCGTTCAAACTGTTTGACGTGACCTCATTTGTTAGTTTATTATCAAAAGTGAACTGCAATAACTAAAATGCCGTGTAAAAATGAATGGTTCCTTTTCGGTACAAGCAAACAAGAAAGTTTTGAGACTTTTTTAAAACTAGTCTTGAAACATTACAAAACCGATAAACTAATGCGCGGCTTACTTTATTTCCCATGTTCCTTAAGCAAATCGCAGTTTAACTTTCATTTCCTGATTCATTACAAACTTTTAGTCGCTAAGATTTGCTGTAAGTTTTTACCCTCTACATTTTATGACCTTTGTGCTCTTGATGTGAGATATCTTTTTAAAAAGAACATTAAAACCTATATATTTTAGATATTTTACAGCTTTTAATATTTTTATCTATCTGACATATTAACATTTTTAACCTGTAGCTTGTATAATTTAGGTTTTTAGTTCTCAACTTTTTACTTAGTATTACCTTACACGTTTATTTACTATCTAAGATCATCTATTTTTTCTATTGTTTTACAGGACCTCACTGAATATCACTCTTTGTGAAGTGAGCTCCCTGTATAAAGATTGTTATTGATTATTATTATGTTCAGTTTTGCCACTGACCTAAATAACACAGTTGCGGTCCTTTCAATTTTCAACTGCTTCACTTTGTTTTAGAGAGAAAGCCGCCTAAGAGACGCTCATCTCATTACGTCGAGCTGCAGTGAAGAACTGACTAAAGCTTGGAAAACAAATTTTTCGAGGCATTTTTCTTCCGACGCAGCGATGCAAAATTACTTTAACACGAACAAACAGGTATTTTATCTAGATGATGGGGTTGTTGGTTACGCTTTGAAGCTACATGTACTATAAGCCAGTTATCGAGAAATAATGGAGCTATTGTAGCCACTCAAAGTTTAGTTACGAACCTGTGAATCAAAATTCGAAGAGAATTTATGAAACTCTCAGCAAACTCGCGGGAACTCCTTCAAGCAAGTCATAGTCACTACAGAGAAAGTGGCACTGAATCGGTGGTGAGATATTAAGCCCTTGAATAGTTAGATATTGCAAAACATATTCAAAGTAATCACTTAAGCTTTTTTACTTTTAGTACGTCATTGAAAACTGATCCAATGTTTTGTTTCTTTTAACTTTAAGCACGAACGAGTATCAAACTATGACCGAACATTCCATATCAAATCTGGTTACTGCAGTAAACTTCATCGTGACGACAGAGAACATACTCGTGGACTAAATGTTAATGCTGAGGTGGGTGTTTTTGCTTGCTTTCATTTTGAACTGTTCTACCGCTTTTATTGACAAACACCGCTAACGGATTACAATATACTCTTCCCAAAAATATATCGGCCATTCGTTTCGTAACAGTACCTTTGAGAGGGAGACGATCAGGCCACTTTTTCAAATCTCTTTTCATACATAGTGTCCTTGGGCTCCCTATGGTGAGATTTTGGTACGAACTAAGGAAGTAAGCTGTCTTAGAGGATTATAACCCATTCGTGGTATCCTGATTTACCTAAGTTGACTTTAGTGAATTCACCATTTTCACATAGACCATAGATCCTAGTTTACCCCTCCCCCAAAATTTTGCATAACCATTGTCTTCGATTTCTCTTGGGACGACTGTAAAACCCAGAAAAAAAAATTGGAAAAAATAACGGTTATGCAAAATTTTGGGGTTAAACAAGGTGCGTCATGGTCTATGTTGAATAGTGAACGTATGTTTATGAAGTCCCTTATCGACCCTTGATAGCAAAATGCGTAATTGTGAGTGCAAGCTCTCCGATTTAGTTCTAAAGAACGTTAGTGTGGAGACTCACTCACAAGAGACGAACAGAAGAGCTAGCTGCTTGTGAGTTCAACTGTTCTAAGGTTGCAACTAGCTCGAAATTCCAAAAAGTCATACTGGTATTCGATTTATTTATTTATCACTTGTTTCATACCAGCCTGGTTCAAGGAGCAGACCAACACAGAATGGGAATGGGCACAAAGAGAATTATAGGCCCCAAGTGAGGTGCCATCTCTACCAAAACCCTCAGCCCATGAAAGATATACATTAGGGGTGATTCTTGCCTTGGAGAGTTACGTCTCATCAAGAGAGAATAATTGAACAGAGAGGGAGACTACAAGTCTAGCCGTTGGGATATGTGAATTTCACCAAAGTTATTTTTTAGGCCAATTAAGCGACTGAAATTGAGGCTCGCAAACTTTTTTCAGTGTTGCCAGGAGAGAATTCAACAGTCGCCATCACAATATCCTCCATATTGTTTTTGCTTTTAGGCAGGTGCGCGTGGACTTTATGACGTTTCAATCAATCGATTAAAATGTGCGGACGCCTCAGGAATTAGGCTTGTATTAAATCACAACCTCTAAAAAAATTTTAGTGAAATTCTCATATCCCTGACAACGCCCTAAGATTCGCTCTCTGTACTATTATTCTCTGTTGGTCACAAACGGTTCTAGCCTGTGTACAGACGCCCCCTTCCCTCAAAACATTGGGAAGGGGGCGTCTGCACGCAGGCTAATGGTTCTTGTACGTCCAACGAGAGTTGATGTTTAAGCCCTGGTTCAGAAGTGTCATGAGGCACAGAGGGAACAACATACTTATGACTCATTTAAATCGCTGCTTGTAGGAGCAAATCAAGGCGGTTCCAGTTTTAAGTTCTTCTCTTTATGGTCATCGACCTCCGTTGGAAACTCCTTCCCGACGACATGTGAGGGTGGCAACTGTGAAGCGAGATTTCTACAGGCACAGTGGAACGAACATACCTTTATTTTAAATGATTCAGTGAACATCTTCAGTCTTTTTTAAATAAAATTATTTAGAAAGTACAGTTTGCCTCAATTCATTTAACCCTGCTTGTCTCTTTAAAATATTAATTTTTTCTCAAAAATAACGGATTATTTTTTCCGCATCCGAATGTCGGTTTGCAGAGAAGAGGGGTCATTCATTGCTGAACAGAATCTTGAATGAGATATAGTAGAAAGCGTGAACACGCACGTTTGGAATGTTCCTTCCGGAAAAACAGGACTACCTTTTCCGACGTTCCGCTGGATCGAAACAAAAAGTCATGTTCCATTTACTTTCCTACCAGATTTTCCGGAAGATTTTTGTAAATGGTGATTAGAGCGATTTTCGCATGACCTTGAAAAATGTTTTCGGTAAGTGTTCGTTATTTGCTTTATCAGCCAATGGATAAAAAGATCAAAACATGGCCTCTTCGTTTTCCCGCCAAAGAAAACCCTAATATGGAGAAGGCATTGCTCGATTGGCCAATCGTGTTGCAGTACGACGTCCAATCGAAGTATCGGTTGGTTTCTTGAAAGTTCTCTGGTATGAAGTTTTTTCACCCGAGCGTTCGCTTAACCAACCAAAAGCCAAGCGCGTTTGTATCCGTTCGATAATCCAATCAAATCGCTCCATTTCGGTTCGTTTGTTGTTCCTGTATTGCTTTCATTTCAAGGTCATACGAAAATCGCTCTAACTTGCAGTGAACCTGGATAACATTACATGAGGAGACAAGTTCGTGTAGAGTACACGGCGTCCGAATCAATTAGACTGGCAGCTAACTGAGATTGTATCGGCTCAGCCGGGGAGAAACGGCGGTTGACTGGGGTGGTATTGGATTTATTCTTTCAGAGACCGAACTTTACATGAGCCGAACCAAATGCATAAAGTTATATAGAGTGATTTTACTTGAACCGTGAAACAGATACTAACAAATAGTGCCAAAAAGCAAGAGGTAAACAATGAATACAATCATTATGGAATTAGTGCATACTAGTGCGTAGTATTCTACTACCTATTTCACGGGTCAAGTAAAATCACTCTAAAGTATGTTTAAAGTTTCCGTAATTCAAAACTACTTTGTGTTGTTTGTAAGATTTCCGTATATGAAAAATACTTCGACAGCAGATGTAAACAAAACACTCTCTTGTAGTTACTGGTGAGAAGGGACTAGAAGAATTAACTCTACAAATGATATATCACCTTTACACAGTTCAGTTCTGGTTTGCTTAAACCTATTTCAATGACTCAGCGATCTACCTGTCTAATCATAAGCAATTTTTTTATATCGGTTCCTTACAAGCGTGGGAAATGACTAATTCTTGTTCATACCAAATAGAACTCCCATTTTAAGCAATAATTTTTTAAATATAGACAACGTTCCAAGGGCGGAGGAACCCCATAGTCTAAGATTGCACGCTCGTGAGGACTCCTCTGTGGTAAATTGTACAAAACACTCAGTAAATTAAATTACGCAGCAATTACTTGTCTGAAAACAATATCAGGTGTGTGTGTTTTCACACTTTAAATTGCCGCATTAAGGTTATTTTTCGCCCTATACAAAGAAAAACAAAGCTTAAAGTCCAATATCAAAATTACACTCGGGTTGAATAAAAAAGGAGGCATGATTCACGAATATAATTTGCGCATATTAATTGAGACAGTTCTTTCAATATATTTCATTCTACATTTCAACGAGTTTTTATGGCCTAACTCCATATGTCTGAGATTCCTCAAACTTTCGAAGGTATCGAAAAATAGCTAGCCAGAAAGCAAATATCAGTGAACCCGGAAATAATATTCCCAGAAATAGTTCAATAATCTCGCACTTTTACTGTTAATTGAGGCAGGAGCCCATGCTCCTGATTGAGGTTATAAACCTGAGAAGTCATTCAATTTCTGAAACTTTTTTTATTTTTATCTACAAACAAATATGAATGGTGCGCTTTTGTCTATGGTTAAAGCATACAGAAAGTTTTAGTCATGTGCCAGTTTTGAAATCTAAATATTTAGAACGGTCGTGTTAATGCGCGGCGTACTGAGTATCAACTCTCAGTCGCTGTCCACATGAATCCGTTTTTGTTTGAAAACGGAGATTTTTTTCCTCTGGTTTGGCCTAACCGTCCACACGCCTAATTCGGTGAAAGCGGTCAGCTAAAACGCATCTTTTCAAAGACGCTCTCCAGTCAGAGTGGAGATTTTGAAAACGCTGGCCACTCGTTTACGGGTGGACGGAGCGGAGAACGGATGTTTTCGAACACGATGATGCAATACATCATTTACTAGTAGCATAACTCATGCTCTGTGAGGGATGCTATCGTCTTTCCATTTTTCAGCGTTTTTGTATGGACGGGCGAAAACGATTCGAATACAGTACGTGTGGACGCGTATTTGTTTTGAAAACGGAGGGGAAATCTCCGTTTTAAAAAAATATCCGGATACGTGTGGACGGCGCCTCATATGGGCGATAGTGATTCCTTTAAGGCGAAAAAATAACTGGTAAGGAAAATTGCAGAGGTGAAATACCGCAAAATAGTGATAACTGCGAGGAACTCAAGGGAAAAGATGGTAAATACCACATTTGCATTTTAGTTTAAACGAGGTTGTAAATTCGGGGACAAATGAGGTATTTACCACCCTTGCCCCTGATTTCCTTGTAGTTTGCAGCTTTTTGCACCATCATTTGCCTCGAACAAATATGACGTATATCTAATTTTTTCTTAACAAATAAGACATAACTCTGCTGTCAAGTAACCCCTTTTATCAGTTCAAGGCACTTGAAATTTTCAAATGGTGCGTTTGTTAAAGACGGAATTTCCAAAACATTGCTACTGATTGAAAATGAACTATATCTTTGTTCAAATTGTCAGGAAAAAATTACTGCTCATTGAGAATTACTAATCGCACCGGAAAGGAAGAATAAAGCAATAGATTTAATATATTTAATGTTTTTAGTTGCAAAGAAAAACACAACAAATACTTTATTTGTTTACTTTTCCATAAAAACCGTAACCATGGATATATCCGATATATATCAAAATATATTTGCGGAAACATTCGTTATTGCTCAGGATTTTAACTGAACCTCCATGGCATCAAGCTGACAAATCAAAGCCTTTGTCCGTTAAAGCGCGAGCAGACAGGTCCAAAATCAGTGGTGAACCAGCGCCGATCTCAGGCAAACAAAAACCGCCATATTTTCGGGCCAGAAGAATCTATTCCAAGCACACCTTCCACGCTCGTGCCCAAGCCCCACCCTGTATTTCCGTGCGTGGCGAACTGTTAGAACATGCCGTAAAGTGAGCAAAGCCGGTTTCACGTTCTTAGACACTACAAAACCCTGAAAGATTACGGACTAACGAGTCATACCTCTCTCTCTCTTCCCAGTCCATGCGGACACTCTTTTTAATTTTACAATAAAGTGAATACAATCGCAGAAAGCCAATACTGCATTTAAAGAAAAAAAAATATGTGGGAGAAATTCGATGAAGAAAAGGCTTTTGAAACAACATCATTAAAACAGAGGGATAAAGGCGTTTTATTTCCCATCATGATAGTGGAGTTCTTGATGTTGCAGCGAATAAAACGATCTTGACCTCTCCCTCCGTTAGCTATTCATACTTAGAACTCTCAAAACTTTGATTGCCCTTGGGCTTGAGGTAACACGGGTAACAAAGTAAACAAGATCAATATTGAACGCAACCTCTTAGAGAAATATTGAAAATGCTTTTAGTGTAACACATCTCTCTTTAGGGCTAGACAAAGTTCTTAAAATAAAGGGTATTTTTCATTACAGTTTTATACAGTCGTAAAAAAAAAACATTTTTAAGTGCAATTTAAAAACAAACCCAGTCGCAGAAACCGGTATCTTTGTATTACAGTACAAATCGATCGCGTGATACTTCCAAACGTTCTTGAAAACAAATTAGCATTACGGCAAAACATTCAAATATGAGCTGGGAACCGGAAAAAAGCACAAAACTCGGTAACAGCAAGTGAATTTTTATCCTTGTTTAACGAGGATTTCGATGCATTAAACTTATGTGTTGCGTTCCGCTTAAGGAACGGCTAAGCCGAGAAGGTAAAATGTCGCCTTCAATTTTATTTGGAAAAGCAATATTACTTCATGCAGTCGACGTTCAACTAGTAGCAATTGCTATGTAGATGCCACTTGAAACATTAACTTTAAATGCAATCTATATGGTTATCTTTCGTCTACACATTCCATTTAGCATCCTGCTGCAACCCCTTTTGTGACTAAGCATTTTAATGGCTGCAAGATCCCGATCAAAATAATTTCTTGAAATACATGTGTTTGTGTGCATTCCTGTTCCTAGACAGAACGCCGCTTAGCTCAATACGCAAGTTGTCATATACATCCCAGTCCTACATTAAGCAATTCAAATCATGTAATCAGCGAGTTGCGTGTACTGGGTTGCTCCGAAAAAAAGAATAGAAATGACGCTAGTTTTAGTCCACTATTAACCGACTGATCAAAGTAACAAAGTCACGATATTTTAATTTGAAACGACTAAAAGCTTTATATAAGAACTGGTAACATATAAATGCCACTTTAACAAAAAGTCACCATGTCACCAATACACATGCTGGTTCCGAAGTATTTCAAGTCAAACTCTAAAAAAGGTTGAAATAAATGTTCCACCTTTTCTTTTTAATTGAAAAAGCATTGTTTGAATTAATTGAAAAGCATGACGAAACCCCTGTAAAGAATGTAACAAAACGACTGGTTATGAATACGTTCAATACACCGGAACAAATGAAATCGGTAAGAGAGGCGTGAATGATAAACTGCCACTCGACGCAAAGGAGAAACTAACACTGAACTAAGACCACGTGAGATTCCTTTTGTTAGTTCAGTCTATCTAGAAACCGCCAGCCATTTGATGAGTGAGACTGTTTCTTTATTAATACACTGCAATGAATGATTATTAATCACAGCGTCATCCAGGTTATATTAAACTGGATATTGAT